GCTCTGAAAAATTTCCCAACCTTCGGCGGCGGCGACTGCAAAAACTCCTGGGTTTCTATATACATCTCAGCTTAATGAAGACTCTTTCAAAGGATATTTAGATAGTCTGCTTCTTTAACAAGATTCATATCTATATTTCACTTTTATCTAAAAATATGGCCGTCTAAAAAAAAACCAACAGCGAAAAAATCCAAATTGTGGCCGTAATTTTCCATTGTCACCACCAGAACTCAATTTGTATGAATCAAAAGTATCATATTCGGAGTCAGCGTCCAAAACCAAGTCGAATGGTATCTGTTTTGAAAGATTTTGCTGGCTTTCATTTTTTGATAAAAACCTCAGTCATTTTTCGACGTGAAAATTCGAAAAAAACAAGTCGTCGGATAGGTTAAGAAGGTACATGAATCGACTTCGTTAAACGTAGCAAGTTTTTTTTGGTGGTCAATTTTGCTTGTAGGTGGTAATGATAGGAATTCCGAGGTCCTTTTTTTCGCGCGTCTATACTTGCAAGAATATTTGTGAGCATTTTTCGCCCGAGAAAAACTGAACTCCTCTTTTCCTCTTTTTTTTTTACAAACTGTCGGTGGGATACCAGTCTAATTGACACTGACGTAGTAGAGCAGAGATTATATTAGATTAGTAGTTTATTTTGCGAAAAAAATAATATTACATAATCATTGAAGGAATTTTTCTAATGTATTACTGTAAGTAGAATGTTGCTCTCCATGTTTAATCTATTCTATTTTTCAGGATGTATCTCAACATGTTGAACTTTGATATTCGGACAAGATATGTGTAGTTTTTTTATTTATTAATTTGTTGTTGTTGTTGTTGTGAAGAAACGGTGCTCTTTGTTATGTTGATTATTTTATTGTAGTCCCTTGTTTTATTTATTCTTTTTTTGTTACTCGCATTTAAGATCTCGGTTTTCTTTTTTGTTGTTTTTAAAATAATATTGATTAATTTCTTTTCTAGTTGTTAAATTTAATCTCGTTTCAAAGATTTTTCTATGGTTAAAAAATGATTTTCATCTATTTTTTTTTCCATCTTTAGTATATGAATGATTTTGAAAATATTTCTCATTTCTCACTTGTTAAATTTCTAAGTTTAATTAGTATTTTTTAAGATTGTCTCTGAGAAAGTAATAATCGACTATTCCGTATCCTTAATAATCATCAAATCTATGTTTCACTATTTGTTCGACTACAAACGATTGAAGACTATATTATAGTAAAAAAAATAAAAAGTCAACTAAATGTATCAACAATGGAAGGCTTGCCCAGATCATTGTAGGTTTAGTAACACAGGAAAATTGTTTATGAGATCGCGGTCAAAAGATTTCTAATACTACTAGTTTAGTGTTAAAAGAAATAGAGGTGAGTTTCGAAAGTGATTAGCATAGTAAATATCACTGCTGTTCTCACAATTCATAAGGAGCTAAATCAAAAATGCAACAAAATGTTTTTTGGCTTTATTATACATGGTTAGATAGAGCTCGTCGAGCTGATTAAGTATATATGTGTCTACTGTTCAAAAAAAGCTTTTTAAAGGGCAAAAATTTAAAATACTCGGTTAGACCAAAATCGTTAAAAACCGCTTCATTTCAATAAAGTACGAACATTTTTTGCCTCCTTCTTTTTCTAAGATTTTGAAAATCACGAGAAAGAGCATTGTGGAGAACGCTTCACTCAAACAAGTTGACTAAAACATCAACTGTGTTCACTTTTAGGTCTCCTTGGGCTCGTATTTGACCTCTAAAGGATTGAGCCAATGATACGTAGGGTTTGTTTAGTCAGAATATTGTAGAGCATTTCAAGAGCTATCTTTCTATACTAAGGACTAGTTGCATCCTCTCTTATCTATGAGAGTAAATTGACTAAAACATCAACTGTGTTCACTTTTAGGTCTCCTTGGGCTCGTATTTGACCTCTAAAGGATTGAGCCAATGATACGTAGGGTTTGTTTAGTCAGAATATTGTAGAGTTTTTCAAGGGCTATTTTTCTATATCAAGCTTTACCGTAGCTTTATATTAGATTTTGAGCAAAATCGTTTTCGTTAAACACCGATATGCTTTACGTACCTCGTCAGAAAAGTTATTTTAAGAAGTTTCGATAATGTTATAATGGTTGATATGCGGTTCAAAATGTGTAAAATCGTTTTCTCTACAATATGTGATCATAACGAAGTCGAAAAAGCAGTGGGCCAAATGCAGTGGAAAAGCGGGCCCCCTCCTTTATACAAAATTTTGACCGAATTTGAAAAAAAGCGAGTTGTTTTGAGTTCACAGCGGAATCGAACATTTTCGCGCATTTTAATGCTGATATTCGGGATCAGTATGCTCAATTACATATTGCTATATGGTTTTCGAGGGATCAAAAATGAAAGAATTTTCAAAAACCGTGTAGGAGATCTCAGGCCTGAAAAACTCGATGGAGAGATCTTGCGAAACTAAATGTCTAGAAATATTCCCAGGCGTTCTCTGACACCATCCCAGTGGGAAAAAAGTCTCTCATGGGTCGGAAAGCAACCTTATCCGGCCTTCTCCTTTAGGGTCTTTTTATGTCACAGCGGTACCCACTACTAAAAACCTCGTGTGAGCTCGACACTTTAATCTAATGACTTTGTTTCTTCTAGCGCAATTAGAATCACCTGAGCTGTACCGAATGACGTTAAAATGATCCTTCTAACTTTTATGGTTTTCAAGATAATTAATGATTAATGCGTCAAAAATGGCACAGCATTACCTTTGGACAATCCGTGTAAACCACTCTGATTTCTTAGATAATGGACTATAAAGTAAGGCGCGCGTAATTCAAAAATCAAGCACTATTTTATTTTTAGCTTCTTTATATATGATTTGATAGAGAATTTGAAGCTGATCACCAATATCGCCTTTTTAACCTTCCTAGTGCACGTTTGCGCGTCGAAAAATTGAAAATACGGGAAAGGTCTTAAAAGCAGAAAAACTTTCCCGTTTCGAAAAAAGTTGAATACTTTTTCTCCTTTTTAGTTTGAAACTCTCAAACAGCTTTTTTCTAATTCCGTGTTGAAAATCGGATTAGAAAATATGCCTTTTATGCTCCCCATATATAATGTCATTGCACGAAAAATTCATCTTCAAGGATATCTTCAAAGCGGAGACCTCATCGGAAAAAGCTATCTAGTTTTTTTTGGTAAAACATAGAATGTTCATTCTTGCGCCATTCGAATGGTCTTTTTTATTCGAACTACAAAAGTATAACTCGTTTTTTTTGAAATTCCTCTCCATTGCTGAGAAATTTCACTTTTGCTAAATCAGGAGAGAAAAAATCGGAATTGGTTTGGTTTAAGCTTTAATCTTGAACCAGAGATTCTGTCGACCTGAGATTCAATCAGAATTCTGCCCGTAGTTCTCAATTTTCTCCACTAGAACTCGCTTTTTATGCAATAAAAGTATCATATTCAGAGCCAGCGTCAAAAACTGAGCCGAATGATATATGATTTGAAAGTTTCCGGTGATTTTCATTTTTTTGGTGAAAATTTTGTGTTTTTGTGTTTTTCGAAATTTACTGATTACCGCGCGCCTTATAAATAAATTAAACATACCAACTATTGTTTCTGTTGATGATTGAATGATTGTTGTGGTAGTTAGTGTAGCTACAGGTGTTGGTGTACCTTGAACAAAAATATGTATCCGTGAGGTGACAATATAGAGATGGGATAAGAAGTATTTGATGATTTGAATGTAAATCGTTATAAGAAAAAGAATTTGGTCTTGAACTTGACATATGATTTAAACAGAAAAGGAACTAGGAAATCTAACAGTGATAATTATAGTGGACATATATGCTGATTCAGAGTAGAGGTGCGCAGGATTACCCTACCCTACCATACCCTTTAGGGTAGGGTATGTAGGTCAAGGGTGTGAAAACTTTTCTAAGATAGAGTATAGGGTACGAAAAAAGCTTACCCTGCATACCTCTAATTTGGAGGCTCACTGTTGTGATAAAATATAATTGAAAATTGTAAAAATTTCAAATACTGTTAAGCTTTAAACTGATAAATAAATGCGTTTTTCTATTCTGTGTTAAATTCAGTTTATTGATCAAGATTAATCGCAATTAAAAAACCGTTTTTAACTCAGATAAAAATTTAGATACAGTTAAGCGCAACAAGTAAGAATACTTAGATGGAAAGCGCATGCTATCAGGTAGGAAATCTACCCTTTTCCTCAACGAAGTCATAAAGAAATTGGTAAAAGTTTTTCAAACCAGTTGGTAAAAGTTCACGAATTGATTTGTCGCGCAATAGAAGATGATTTATGCCAATTCTCGCATTCGGTAATAGTAACTCCAGCTATCATAGTAAACTGGAACAAATATTGCCATAGTTCTGACATTTTCAGAAAAAGTACAATATCGCCTCAACTGAATCACTGGCACAAAGATTACTTATTACTAGTTTTGATTAACAAGATCACTGTCTAGTTGAGAAAATTCAATTCATAATCTAGCAAAATGAATATGAATCATACGATTTTGATTTAGAGGAATATAAAGAACAAATATGTCATCAAATTGTGTTAATAGACACTTAAATCTCGTAAATTTTATACAATACAAGATCTAAACTGTACATTTAATTCATTCCGCATTCGTACGGCACAAAGTATGGACTAGCACTTATATGGCTAGTGTACATTAGCACTCTCTACAACACGTGAATATAGTTTGTGAACGCCATTGCCCTCAGCAGTATGTAAATAGGACTTACTGACAAGTGTCCTCTGCAGTTCGTCAATATGGTTCCTCAGTGCTTGCACTATATGTGCTGTGTGAATGTGGCTTGGCAATGCTAACGCTATCTACAACAAGTAGATATTGGTTGCCGTCCTTTACAGCATGTAAATGTGTATTGGTCGTACTGACGTTCTCTGCGGCATGTAAATTTGCTTGTCGGCGCTAGTATCTTCTATAGAGGATAAAATGTTATTTAGCAGCACTAATGTCCTCTACAACCACTAAATACGACACGGGGATTTGGGTGCCCTCTGCAATGTGTCAAAGTGCATGCCATCTAAACCATGGAAATTTGCTTTTTTCAGCAACACTGCCGCTATAATGTGTGTACATGGATAAATTGCACTAGTGCCAAGGGGGAAACAGTAGAATTCCAAGCACCTGTGGACCCTCAAACCTACAGGAGCCTGGAGAATGCTCTACAAACTTCCCACAGTTCGAGAAACTGGAAGACTTCCTGCGAGTACAAGAAAAAATCGGGAAAAGGGATTAGAATCCGATGAAATCCCGAAAATCTGTAAAAATGACTGAAAATGAGGCTAAGCAGAAAAAACGCTCGAAAATTCAAAAACAGTCAGGAAAATTCTTTGGGCTCAGCCAACTCACGAAGAATATCAAGGAGACTCCAGCAGTACAACAAAATTTGAAAAAAATTAATTGCTTGTGGAACGGAGCCCAGGTTATAGAAGTCACAAAATCTGCTGCTTCCCCCTTGACTAGTATTCACAGTACGTTCATTTAGCTTGTTGATAAAACAACTCTTATTGGGAGACATAGATGCTCTTTGTAGGCATTAGATACGATTTACTGGTGCTGGCGTTCTATGTGGTGTGTAAGTATGACTAGTCAGCACTAATGGTAGGGTAATTCTTTCGGAACTGTCCCACACTTTACATGAAGTTTTGCCGCAAATGTCGAGACATATCTCATTTGAAAGAGCATTGACTTGGTATACATTGACAGTTGTGGAGTCCAGATATATTAGTCGGAGCGGTTAGAAATGGGTGGGGACAATACAGAATGTGATGGAGGACCACCGAAAGCAGATAAAACGTCAAAATTCGTCTCAAACGTAGCTTACAGAAGCGATACGAAAAATAAAACGCTACAGTTCCAGATAGAACTGACTACGAGGAATCCGAAGCACATATCAGTTTTGAGCTTAGAGTTCCATTTGATGTAGAAAAACGCATTTCAGTATGACAGATTTTCATTATTTTCACCATCTTTGAATAAGTACAGTAAAGCAATGCAGCATTTTGAATTCTTTTTAAATAAGCTATTTTATTGCTTGTTGTCTCTGGTCTATATCCTGTATGGTTCCGATCAATTACTTTAGTCATTTTAAGAAGATTTAGTGTGAACTGGTCCATGGAATCTTAAAATCTGCCAAATGTCGGACCACCTCCGGACCCCATGCCGAGGTTTTCAAATTTTTTAAATCACTTAACCTTACTCATACTTCAATGCACTTTCAAATGAGATATGTCTCGACATTTGCGGCAAAACTTCATGTAAAGTATTGGACACTTCCAAAAGAATTACCCGGCATAGAGCGCACCACTATAGTGTATATTCAAAACCAAGTATATGTCATACTCATAATCTACCTTGAACAGTATGTCGGATGGTGTTTCATACAAATATGCTGCTAAAAATATATCAAACCAAACCTAAACCGTTTGGATACTTAAACTTACCAAACCCAAATAACTTGGATTTCGTCCATCTCTAATTGCACTTAACTTTTAATGCATTTTACAATCAGCATAGTTAACTGCATTTAACTTTGAACGCACTGAAATCGCATTTTAATGCATTTAAGCGAGAGTTATATTTTTTGACTACATGGGCACTCATTCTAGCATTTGAATACATCAAAAAATACAGAATTAATTCTCACATAAGTACCTGTAGTTTGACAATATTCTTCAGACATATGTTTAAAATTGTTATTGTATGTTAATAAATGTCGTTTAAAACATTCTGCTGCTCGTTTATCACACATACAAGTATCATATGCACATGTTTCATAATCATCTATACATGTAACTGTACCACTATTAAATTTTGCACTATATGTGGTCAATTTTGCATCACATAAATATGTTCTATTAACTTCATTGTAGCATTCATAATGAATTAAACAACATAAATCAGTTTTATCAACATATTTGACACTTGCTTTATTTTCTCCACACCTATCAACAAACAGACATAACATTTAGTAGAAACATATGACATTCGCTTACCAACATCCATAATTATCATAATCTTGTGGCAAACGATTAGTCATATAATAAATCATAGATGAAGATTGAAAAATGTCACGTGTTTTATAAGGTAATGATTTTGCCATTGTTATGGCAAAAAGCAAAATAATTTTTATCATCGTATTTGTCAATAATGCGGACCAAACTACTGAACAGAAATAATATTTGAAATTTAAATGAATTAGTTCAACTATATATCATATACAAATACTACACAATATTAGTTACATATATTCAAATAGAAAATAAATACTATTGTAAGAGTAGTGAAAAAATAATATTTTTGTTAATTATCTGAATAACATAATATCAAATAACAAATAGAAAAAAAAAGAGATAGATATTCATGTTTGGAAGCAGAAGATCAAAAAGCAATCAATCGAAGGATTACTTTCTTTTCTGAATCTGTACTACATTGTGAGAATCATATTATAGAACAAGCATCCGGATGTATGTAATGTTCCATCGAAAATAGAAAAAAGTTTCTTTCTGGCATGCAAAACATTTCAGCATTTGTTACTCTTACTCAGACAATATTATTCATTAACAAAAAGTTTTGAAAAATTCATTAATATAATATAATCTGAAGTCACAACGATGACATCTATGCACCTAATGACAAGCTCGATATTTTTGTGTTGTTGCATCGACTCGTTTTAATTACTCATGTTTTCATCAAAATTACATCGAATCTCATAGGTACGTTACAATTCTCTTTTTCTTTGATATAGAATGCCATGTAAAACATTTCTAAATAAACACATGCGCATGGCAAAAAACATGGTTCACAATGGAAAGCAATGAGGTTATGTAATTAAGAAAATGCGTCAAACACTGTCAACTGGTAAGTTCATATATGCGAAACAGTTGTTATATAAATACTCACTTTTAGATCCCTTTGCAGTTAATTTTATTCCTTCATTGAACTCATCTTCTAATTTTCTAATTAATTTATACATCATTCAAAGTTACTCAAAAAACCTTGATGCTGTTGAACAGTTTTCGTTCTGTAGCTTTGTATTTGCAGCAGACATTCTTTTCTTCAACTATATCCGACAAAGATGTGTCTATTCCAAAATATTCAGCATAGCGTTGTGATATGGAGATGGTGTTACTAGTTTTGTCAGAAATTATGTCAAACATTCATTCCTTGTTTCTTCAACTAACACAGAATCAACCCTTTTTTCTAAAACACGTAACAATCATATAGTTTATTTATATAACATACACAAGAGCCTAAAAAATCCAAATTCTTTTTTCGATAATCTATTTTATCACACATAAACAATGATAAATCAATAATTGTGATCGGAGACTTTTAAGTAAAAGCCATAAAAAATAAAATCACATCGCCTTTGTTCTCTATCTTGAATTTAATAAATGTATTTTATGTATCAACAACTGTAAACAACTCATACATTTTCTTTTCTTCTCAGCTACATCCACCAAGTACTTCGACTTCAGCAGCTTTAAGAAAATCTCCGCACTATGTTTTATCTTGTTCATTTTCCTATGTTGACTTTCCTATAACTCGTACAAGTTAGATTCATGATTACGTAAATTAGACATGACTACTCTTATTCACAAGTTATCTTTGATGGGGTTTATTGGCTTATTCTTAAACATGCAATCATCGTGGAGAAACATCGAGCTTTTTATGAATAAAGACGAAGTTCTCCAAGAGCACCGTCGACTTTTTTAAAAGTAAAAATGAAGTCGTCGCGGAAAAAACATCGACCTTTTTATGAACAAAGACGAAGTTCTCCTGAAGAAACATCGAGTTTTTTAGGAATACACGAGTTTGCAGCGTTCGATAGGTCTGGCTGTACGGCGGCAGAATGTGAGTATCCAACAGAGCCTTGTACCAGTCCTGTTGAGGATCCGCTTTGATAGCCAGGGAGCATGTAAAAAGAACAATGATAAAAAGCTTCATTTTTTAATTGATACTTTAACGATGAAGAGAAACATAAATTATAGCTTAAATAGTGCCTCGAACCTCGAACAGAAGCCTTGACTATTTGTCAGCCGGTCTCAATCACATACAAACTTTCGCGGAAGAAACGTTCGATGTTGGCACATATTCTGCAAAAAAAAAGTAAAAATGAAGTGTATGTACAAAGATCAGTGTGACCAGCATGGAACATTTTCCGGTACAGTCAGAGAGACTATTTCATGCTAAGAACACCATGCGTGCTTATGGTACAGGAAGGAAGAAGAAGAGAAAGTGAATACACTAAAATCCCCTTAGCACAAGCTGAAATCGGAGCCATTTCGACGAGTCGATTTTAGACATTGCCCAGATACAAGCTGTCCCCTGCACACTTCAGCTTAAGGCCCTCAGGATCATAGTGAAGACTTTTGACAGCTCCGTTTTACTCTAAAATAAGAAGATGATCTAAATACAAGTGTCAACAAATCGTGTTCCTTACATACATACTTTGCTACAAACTTTACGATTTCAGCTGATGTTAAGACTGTTGCTAATGGCGGACATGTCATTATACATAATAAACAATGAAAAAAGACAGAAAAAATATGTATTTCTTAGGGTGGGTTCGAAAATATTACCTAGAAAAAATCTGTCAAAAATTGATTAAACGACTTCGGTAAGCAGATAGACGAAAGTTTTAGCCGTAGTCGATTCCGTCGCATGAATATTTCATAAAAGGATTTATAAACTCGAGTTCCATAAGGTCGTTTAACCTAAATTGTCTCCAATCAATTGTAGGCATTAAGAGACAGATTTTTTCTAGGTAATATTTTCGAACCCACCCTAAGAAATACATATTTTTTCTGTCTTTTTTCATTGTTTATTATGTATAATG